ATGAATTACAGCAGTTGGATATGCTGAATGTTGAAGACAGAGTAAAACAACTGAAGCTAAATCATGTTTATAAAATTGCTCACAAACAGTGTCCAGAATATCTTGCTGTCAATTTTGTCAAGGTTGGGAACCAAAACAATCATAGTACTAGGGGGAGAGAGCACAACTTTGTAGTAGCCACAGTCAGTGGCCAGGCTTCAAACACCTTTTATTGTACAGCAATAAAGGAATGGAACAGACTACCCGCACATGTCAAAGCCAGTCATAGCATGAACCAGTTCAAGAAGAGTGACAGAAGGTGTCTGATGAATGTAGCTACAGGAAGGGAGGGGAATGATTTTCTATTTTTTTAGCTAACACAAGTGTAATTTTACCTTATTCCTAGTAATGACCCTCGTATTGTAGATAGTCTTAATGACCCTCGTGTAGTAGTCTTAATGACCCTCGTGTAGTAGTCTTAATGACCCTCATGTAGTAGTTTTAATGACCCTCGTGTAGTAGTCTTAATGACCCTCGTGTAGTAGTTTTAATGACTCTCGTGTAGTAGTCTTAATGACTCTCGTGTAGTAGTCTTAATGACCCTCGTGTAGTAGTCTTAATGGCTCTCGTGTAGTAGTCTTAATGACCCTCGTGTAGTAGTCTTAATGACTCTCGTGTAGTAGTCTTAATGACTCTCATGTAGTAGTCTTAATGACCCTCGTGTAGTAGTCTTAATGACTCTCGTGTAGTAGTCTTAATGACCCTCATGTAGTAGTTTTAATGACCCTCGTGTAGTAGTCTTAATGACCCTCGTGTAGTAGTTTTAATGACTCTCGTGTAGTAGTCTTAATGACTCTCGTGTAGTAGTCTTAATGACCCTCGTGTAGTAGTTTTAATGACTCTCGTGTAGTAGTCTTAATGACTCTCGTGTAGTAGTCTTAATGACTCTCGTGTAGTAGTCTTAATGACTCTCGTTTAGTAGTCTTAATGACTCTCGTGTAGTAGTCTTAATGACCCTCGTGTAGTAGTCTTAATGACCCTCGTGTAGTAGTCTTAATACTCCGTGTAGTAGTCTTAATGACCCTCGTGTAGTAGTCTTAATGACTCTCGTTTAGTAGTCTTAATGACCCTCGTGTAGTAGTCTTAATGACCCTCGTGTAGTAGTCTTAATGACTCTCGTGTACTAGTCTTAATGACTCTCGTGTAGTAGTCTTAATGACTCTCGTTTAGTAGTCTTAATGACCCTCGTGTAGTAGTCTTAATGACCCTCGTGTAGTAGTTTTAATGACCCTCGTGTAGTAGTTTTAATGACCCTCGTGTAGTAGTCTTAATGACCCTCGTGTAGTAGTTTTAATGACCCTCGTGTAGTAGTTTTAATGACCCTCGTGTAGTAGTTTTAATGACCCTCGTGTAGTAGTTTTAATGACCCTCGTGTAGTAGTTTTAATGACCCTCGTGTAGTAGTTTTAATGACCCTCGTGTAGTAGTTTTAATGACCCTCGTGTAGTAGTCTTAATGGCTCTCGTGTAGTAGTCTTAATGACCCTCGTGTAGTAGTCTTAATGACTCTCGTGTAGTAGTCTTAATGACTCTCATGTAGTAGTCTTAATGACCCTCGTGTAGTAGTCTTAATGACCCTCGTGTAGTAGTCTTAATGGCTCTCGTGTAGTAGTCTTAATGACCCTCGTGTAGTAGTCTTAATGACTCTCGTGTGTAGTCTTAATGACTCTCGTGTAGTAGTCTTAATGGCTTGTGTAGTTAGTCTTAATGACCCTCGTGTAGTAGTCTTAATGACCCTCGTGTAGTAGTCTTAATGGCTCTCGTGTAGTAGTCTTAATGACCCTCGTGTAGTAGTCTTAATGACTCTCGTGTAGTAGTCTTAATGACCCTCGTGTAGTAGTCTTAATGACCCTCGTGTAGTAGTCTTAATGACCCTCGTGTAGTAGTCTTAATGACCCTCGTGTAGTAGTCTTAATGACCCTCGTGTAGTAGTCTTAATGACCCTCGTGTAGTAGTCTTAATGACCCTCGTGTAGTAGTCTTAATGACTCTCGTGTAGTAGTCTTAATGACCCTCGTGTAGTAGTCTTAATGACCCTCGTGTAGTAGTCTTAATGACCCTCGTGTAGTAGTCTTAATGACTCTCGTGTAGTAGTCTTAATGACCCTCGTGTAGTAGTCTTAATGACTCTCGTGTAGTAGTCTTAATGACTCTCGTGTAGTATAGTCTTAATGACCCCCGTGTAGTAGTCTTAATGACTCTCGTGTAGTAGTCTTAATGACCCTCGTGTAGTAGTCTTAATGACCCTCGTGTAGTAGTCTTAATGACTCTCGTGTAGTAGTCTTAATGACTCTCGTGTAGTAGTCTTAATGACTCTCGTGTAGTAGTCTTAATGACTCTCGTGTAGTAGTCTAATGACCCTCGTGTAGTAGTCTTAATGACCCTCGTGTAGTAGTCTTAATGACCCTCGTGTAGTAGTCTTAATGACCATCGTGTAGTAGTCTTAATGACCCTCGTGTAGTAGTCTTAATGACCCTCGTGTAGTAGTCTTAATGACCCTCGTGTAGTAGTCTTAATGACCCTCGTGTAGTAGTCTTAATGACCCTCGTGTAGTAGTCTTAATGACTCTCGTGTAGTAGTCTTAATGACCCTCGTGTAGTAGTCTTAATGACCCTCGTGTAGTAGTCTTAATGACCCTCGTGTAGTAGTCTTAATGACTCTCGTGTAGTAGTCTTAATGACCCTCGTGTAGTAGTCTTAATGACTCTCGTGTAGTAGTCTTAATGACTCTCGTGTAGTAGTCTTAATGACTCTCGTGTAGTAGTCTTAATGACCCTCGTGTAGTAGTCTTAATGACTCTCGTGTAGTAGTCTTAATGACTCTCGTGTAGTAGTCTTAATGACTCTCGTGTAGTAGTCTTAATGACTCTCGTGTAGTAGTCTTAATGACTCTCGTGTAGTAGTCTTAATGACCCTCGTGTAGTAGTCTTAATGACCCTCGTGTAGTAGTCTTAATGACCCTCGTGTAGTAGTCTTAATGACTCTCGTGTAGTAGTCTTAATGACCCTCGTGAAGTAGTCTTAATGACCCTCGTGTAGTAGTCTTAATGGCCCTCGTGTAGTAGTCTTAATGACCCTCGTGTAGTAGTCTTAATGACCCTCGTGTAGTAGTCTTAATGACCCTCGTGTAGTAGTCTTAATGACCCTCGTTTAGTAGTCTTAATGACCCTCGTGTAGTAGTCTTAATGACCCTCGTGTAGTAGTCTTAATGACCCTCGTGTAGTAGTCGTAATGACCCTCGTGTAGTAGTCTTAATGACCCTCGTGTAGTAGTCTTAATGACCCTCGTGTAGTAGTCTTAATGACCCTCGTAGTAGTCTTAATGACCCTCGTGTAGTAGTCTTAATGACTCTCGTGTAGTAGTCTTAATGACCCTCATGTAGTAGTCTTAATGACCCTCGTGTAGTAGTCTTAATGACCCTCGTGTAGTAGTCTTAATGACCCTCGTGTAGTAGACTTAATGACTCTCGTGTAGTAGTCTTAATGACCCTCGTGTAGTAGACTTAATGACCCTCGTGTAGTAGTCTTAATGACCCTCGTGTAGTAGTCTTAATGACCCTCGTGTAGTAGACAGTCTTAATATTATGATAATAAGATATTATCTCCTTTACAGAATAGTAATAAGATATTTTCTTCTTTATATTATGATAACAAGATAAAAGGACCACAATGGAAATAAGTCACCTTGACTTTTTTTTGGGTTATCGCAGGTACTTTACACATACGCTGCTATGTATGATAATCTATGTATAAAACACTGGGGAGACACTGCTGAAGTTCAGCCTGTATTTGTCTATACCTGAATAAACTTACACAATAATAATAATAATAAAAAATGCATATATAAGATTTCTGAAGCAGTACATAAAAAGTAAGAATATAGTTTGCGTGAGCAGTGTGTGTAGTGTGTATTGTGCACTCGTGCCTTGAGTGATGGTGCGGGAGACTACCTTGAAGGACACCCGAAGAAGGTTAGGGATACTCTGAAATAAGGATTAGAATATGTAATTTAGTGGCTCAGCCACTGAGTAGTGGATAGCTTTTGTAAGACTGTAACCGTGTCATGTGCTGTGTCCCCCGTTGTTTTATACATATAAATATATCGATGTACCACGAAGCCCCTCAAGGAAGGTTCCTTGATGTTGGTGAGGGGCTCTTGATTTAGGGAATTGGATCTGAGCTCCAGTTCCCCGAATTAAGCCTGAATGCCTTCCACATCCCCCCCCCCAGGCGCTGTATAATCCTCCGGGTTTAGCGCTTCCCCCTTGATTATAATAATAATAAATGTACCACGAAGAAACAAGCGGAGGTATGATCTGTGACTCGACTCCTGCAAGCACAACTAGGTGAGTACAGAGAACGATCGCAGTCAGCAAGATTCGAAACCATGTCAGGGAAGTATGTTCTAACCTCAAAAGAGAGTTTTTTTTTATCA